AAAACGTTGAGCACTTGCCAGCTGCAAGTCACCGTAGGCAGACCATTGCTCCTGTTGAAGGTGTTGAGTTACTGATGTAGAAACCTTGGGACCAGATATCCCCAAGGGCTTGATAATGGTGATGTTCAACATAACACTGTAGAGAGGAATCTTAAGTAGACGGAAACACCTTGGAGTCTGCGTGGCAACTCGAGAAACCTTGGGAGAAACGACGAGATAAGGGAACGAGCCACTGTGCAGTTTCGGTGTAATACCAGTCAGATATGTATGAAAGTTATACCAAACTGCGCGGCTTGATGAGCTGGTTCCAAAACCGACGTCGTTATAGTGAGATAAACCAAGACCTTTTAGGGAGAACGAGTTAAGAACCGCGGCAATATCCATGGCGGCCAGATCCAGATCTCTGCTGAAAATCGAGTGGTAATCTCCCGTCACTCTGGAATGTTGCAGATTTGTTTATTCTAATAGAGCAACATGCATTTCAGAAACTGCTGTTGAAATGAGGATGGAATGGACAAATCTGGAAACTTTATCCAGAAGCAGTTGGTGATCAAGAAAGGAAGTCCTCTCATGCTATTCCAACAAGAGTAAGTGATAACTAATGCATTTCTTGTAGCTCTTTATGAACGAAAGGGAGCTCATTCAAGCGAGTTTGAAACGCAAAACTTCAAATTTCAAAATCTGCTGAGGCAGCCGCTTTCTTGGCCCAGCATGGCTTTCGAGGACACATTCGAGGTTCCCGAAATTGTCATTTTCGCGACGTGCAATGCTTGTCGTCACTGCTTCTCCAGCCTCATTCGAGCGCAGCGCCCATTGTGGGCAAAGTTGTGTTGGTGATGCTGTTACATAAGCCCCACTCGTTGGACCCTCTCGTTGTGCAAAAATTGCTCATTTTCTCCCATTTTGAGACACGTACTCTGCTGACACTTCGAGCGTCACTAGGTCTCTCCTTGCTTTTCCACTCCCGTTTTCGTCCGCAAGTTCGGCACACAACAACCCTCCCAGCCCTCAAAGCAGTTTTTCTCGACAAGAGTCAACCATCTGTATACTCTGCCGGTGTTTCGGCCCTAGATTCTATTCGTTTTTCGACTTTTAAAAATATGCCAATGGCGCAAATGCTACGTACAGCTGAATAGAATAGGTTAAGTGATGTTGTCTGGTAGTTTCGCATGTAAGATAACGACTCGATCTGCCTCATTCCATCCTTCACCCGCCTTGCATCCGTAGCGGCCTCGACTATGCGGCACATCCCTGGCCTATCTCAGTACCACTGACTGTTCTGCTAGTGCATTCCCAACGTCATCATTTCGCCATTCTCTCTCACCGTTATTTCTTCGCTACTCGTTTTACTCGCAAGCTCGTCGCATAGCAACCTGACATTCCGTCCCCGCAAAGTCGTCTCTTGCCGTCACGAGTGATGGTACCCAACAACAAGGTGACCTTCAGTCACCGAGTGACTTCACCCCGTCTGTCGAAAGCTGGCGGTTGCTGGCTGGGCTTCGACTCGTTAACGAATGGTTACGCCGTGCCGCGCAGAGGGCAACTACGTCGACGAACTTGAGCGATCGGATGGACACGACTGTGAACGCGGGAGATGATGTGGGGAACGACAGCATCGCGGAAAAGGTTTTCACCCTAAGTTGCGGGAAATGGGGTTTTCTGCTGAAAAGCTTCCGAAATGCATACAGAAGTATCCAGAAAGTTGTGATCGTGAAATCACAACCTACCCCCACTTTGCACACTTTGGTATTCGCGCCAAGGGCAACGGAGCGGTAATGTACAATCTGTGTTGAGTTGGAGGGAAATCCGCGCCTCGACAATCGAAAATTACAATGCTTCGACATTGGGTGGCTCGGTAAACTACAGCAGCGTATACAGTTGCGTAAACAGGCACATCGAGAGGCACACCACAATACACTTAGACTTGTAGGGTATCGCATGCAGCGTCAAGAAGGTAGCGAGGTACGAAACGAGGATACCCTTCGTGCGATTTTTGCAAATGGAATCAGGTACACAAATGAATCTGCAACGTTCCACGTCACTGCCACACGTCCCCTCCTGGCCTCCCACCTCACCACCTAGCAAATATTTCCAGCCAATCGCTGCTGCGTGCATGAACCAAAATCAGCAGTCAGCAACTCCCTCATCCACACACTTCCACAGCTAACCTCTAACCATTCGAAGTTGAAACCACACTTAGGATGTTTGCTTCCACAGCTAACCTCTAACCATTCGAAGTTGAAACCACACTTAGGATGTTTGGTGTCTATTTCGAATCATATGCACACTCTCCTCACTCCTGTTATGCTCACTCAATCTACTCTTCTCACATGCTAGGTTTCTTGTTAGCTCGTAGTATGTACAGATCTATCGCCTTAGCTTGACTCTATTCCCTTGTTCTTTTCCGCCCCTGCCAACCTCCTATTTCGTTTCCCATATTTTAATCAGGTGCCATTTTCTTCACATGGATAACGTTCTGCCCGTCACTTTTAGCGGAATCGCCGGCATCAGCGGCAGCGACAGCGGTGTGGGACGAATCGCCAGCGATAACGATTTCGTCTGGACTTCTCGCGGATGTAGGCAATCAGGCGCATGCCGGGCATGCACTGTGATAAGTGGGAGTACGAGAAAGAGAAGTATCGTGTAAGGTAAGTAGTTCTAGAGTAAATGTTGATTCCCACCGTGCATTGCGATTGCGTAGATCTTTTTTGTATTCAATGCCTCTCCATTTTTATCCGTTCGTTTAGTCTCCCAGTCGGGTCCTTATTTGCCTATGGAACCTGCAGTTAATCTATCTCGCTCAGAGGCATGTCTTTCCACGGAAAGGGAATTTTTCCCTCCCCAATCTCCCCGTTTCTAGACGCGTAACCGCGACGAAGCGCTGGACGTTTTGATACGAGGCGCCTCCTTCGGCCAGCCGCAATGGAATGTGTGCAGAGGCAGCACCTCGATGCCGGACTCTTGCGGGGAAGCCGTTCACGGGAAGTCGCTGTGAAATCAAAAGCATTGAGTAAGGGAAACGGCGATCAGAGTAAGATGTACGCAATTCGCACACCTCTTGTATCCATTTCGCTCACCTATTGTATCCAGTTTGCGCGTTTTGTAAATACCTCTAACGGCAAACCCTAACGTGCATGTGTTGTTTGTTTTGTATCTGGTGAATGCCATGATTCACTGAGACTCACTATTGTATTTTTTTGGCAGGCTATGTGCAGATGCCATGATACTAGAGTAATGTGTTGGACTGCATTAGTTGCTTCTTTCACTGTGTTCGTTGTAAGGCCCCATAATTGTATGCCATTGCAATATAAACGATTTCTGTTGCCATGCCTGTAAGCAATTTTGTAGCTGAACCAGAATTGAATATTATTACCCAGTGAACCGATTTGGTCGCAGGTAGTTGCACGCACGATCGTAATCCAATACTATGCCGTTTTTGCATGCCTAAAACTCAACTCTGATTGGTCCACATGGCTAGCTGACGTTCACAGATCGATAGTGACACGTGGCAAAATATCTATGCTGACGTGGCAAAATATCTTCACGAACGTACCGTCGTACGTACACATTGAAGATGAAACTGTACTTGTGCCACGTGGCATGTCATGGAAGTGACATTGAAGTGACAACCAAGTGTACGTTACGTTGCGCTAAGGTATACGCTTTGCGTCGGAAATGTGTCTGAATTGTGTCCAGAAAGTTGCCGAAACTCAACCCAAATTTCTGATGCTTTCGACCTTGACTTGAAAATTGCGGGAGCAGGTATCTTAAAAGTTACTTTTCCGCAAGTTTTTGGAAGCCTTTCCGCAATCCCTTTTCCACTTCCTGAGGAAGTGGAGGGACGAACTGAAGAATGTGCGAAAGGATTTAGTGGAGGCAAGGCGGAGGGCGAGAGGGCGATGGGGGAGTTGGAGGAGTGGATTGCGCGCAAGGTGGACGCCATGTCGTCGCTGACTGCCGTGTATGCCTTACCCTGGCATACCTTTTCCTTGTTCTCCCATGCACGCCATCCGAATTTTCTTTGTGCCCCAGCCTGCATGCTCCCCCCTAGCATTGTTACCCTCTTCCGAGTTCCCTCTTTCCTCTCACCCTCTCCCCCGTACCGAATTTTACCTCTTTCGAACTTTCTTTTTCTCACTCTTTGCGACTCGGTTCGTCCCTCTCATTGGTATCGCCCTCTTAATCCTTTGCTCTAATCCCTTCCGCCCACCCTTCCTTGCCTTCCCTGCCTTCGCATCCTCCCTTCTCTCTTCTCCCTTCCATCTCTACCTGCCCACCTGTGTCACTCCCTTCCTCCACCCCCTGACTCCCTTGATTTCCTGTACTCCAGCTTTATTTCCTCCCCTCTTTATACCCCACCTCTCTCTCTGTGCCACACCCTTGGTTCTCTCCCGGTCCATAAAGGTTTCTGTCTGTCCGGCACCATCTGACAGGATCTGGTAGGCATCTTCCCCTTTCCCAGCTCCTTCTGCGCTCTCAGCCTCTGCATTACTCCATCACACTCCCTCCTCCCATTCGCTCCTTGCCCTGGTACCCTCATGTCTTGAAGCGTGTGGCAAATCTCCCTGTTGATGCAGGCGCCATTGGGTCAGCGGTTCTGGGAGTGAGGTGAACAGGCCTCTTACCGACGACTCCTGTCCTCTAGTGCAAGTCAGGTTCGCAAACTCGAGCCAAGGAAACATCGCCTGCTCACCTTGCGCCCTCATTCCCCCCACACCCGTTCCCTCCCTAACCCCCGTTGTCGGATCATCCACGTGGCAGCATCTGGCGGCTCTGTCTGGCCATGCGGAGGCGATTCGGTCAATGGTGCAGGCAGTGAGGAGGCTGGCGTTCGGCCTTGAGAGTCGGAAGGCTGATGCGGATAGAATGAGGGAGCAGAAAGAGGGGGGGGTTGGGGGAAGAAGCAGTGGGAACAGGAGAACGAAGAGGGGGAGGAGGAGGCGCAGAAGGTGGGGACGAGGGACGGGGTGGAGGAAACAACAAAGAGAAGGGACGAGGCGATGGGAGACGGGCTTGAGTTTTCTGAGAATGAAAGGCAAGAGTTTGAGGAAGAATCCGGGTTCAAGCAAGAGGAAGGAGCAAGGGAAGACGCGGAGGACGGGCAAGCAAACGAAGTGGAGGGAGAGGAGGGGATGGGCACAGGGTCAGGGCAAGGGGCAGAGAAAGGGGCAGAACAAGGGGCAGAGCAAGGGGCAGAACAAGGGGCAGAGCAAGGGGCAGAGCATGGGACAGAGCAAGGGGCAGAGCAAGGGGCAGAGCAAGGGGCAGAGAAAGGGGCAGGGGAGGGACGAGCAGGCGATGTGGACAGTGAGTCAGTGGGGCAAGCGGTTGCTGAGGAAAGAGCCATGCAAGAGGAGGTGTTTGACAATCTTTCCATGGTGCAGGTGAGTGGGGGGAGGTGCGAGGGGCGATTTGTGGGGGCGATTGGTGAAAGGGGCGAGGTGCACATGGTGAGGAGAATAAGCGAGATTGTATTCCCCCTTTCCACTCCCTACTCTCCCCACTGTATTCCCCCTTTCCACTCCCTACTCTCCCCACTGTACTTCTCCTTTCCCTGTTGCCCTCATCCCTGCCCTCACTGCTCTCCTTCCACCCACCCCTAGTCACTCTCCTCGGTTCTCTCTTGCTCTTCGCCAGTTCTTCATCTTCACGTAGACCAATCTCATATCGTTCTTGCTTTCTGTCGAAAGTTTTCTACTTGCGCTGTTGCACCTACTGCCCACACTCACTTTCGGTCACATCCCAACCCTCCCCATATTCTCCTCTCATCCTCCTCCAGCCATTCATGACCGCTTCTACCCCTCGCACTCACGTTTCTCCTCTCTTTTCACTCGTGCCCTCATCCCACCACTCCCTCATCCCCCTGCTGGTCCACCTCAGCCACTCGTCTCTGTCGGCCACATTGCGGGGAGCAGAGGGGGGGCGAGAGTGGATTCAGGAGGAGCGGTTACCACTAATGTGGGGGAGAGGCATGCGCACATGGGAGCAGAGGGCTGGGCGGGGAGAGCAGGAGAAACGCAGGTGGGGTGGGGCTCCCAATGGCCCGTAGGAAGGGGGTTCCCATGGCCGATGGGGACGGGACAGCAATGGGCGGTGGGGAGTGGGTTTCCATGGCCGATGGGGAGTGGGTTCCTATGGCCAGTGAAGAAGGGGAACCTGGTGAAGGTGCGTGGGAGAGCAAGCAAAGAGGAGGTGATGGCACGGCTGAAGGGAAAGGTCAACAGCTTGCTGCTGCACATCCACCCCGATGAGCAAGAAAAGACTATAAAAAAAAATGACGACGTGGTTGATTGCCTCGCAAACCAAGACTCAAGTGTGAAAAGGCTCTCTCTCTGTACCTACTCCCTGGGCTACTACCTCCTGCTCACTCCCCACTGCTACCCAGGCTTCCTGGAATCCCTATCAACCCTTGTCCTCACTGATCTCAACTCCCAGCATGAGCTCGTCACGCCAGCAGTCGCGGATCAGCTCCTCCGCCTTCCCTCCCTCACAGCACGTCACTTCCACCAAGCTTCTATCGGTTCAGACGCCCTGCCACTCTTCCAGTCCGCTTCTCAGCTCCACCGCCTCGTCATCGCCTGCTATAAGCCCTTCGACCTGCTTCCCAACCTGTCAGCCAACCGCCAGGCGAACCTGTTCGCCCCGTCTGAACCCGCCAGCCAACTCCAGCCATTTCAGCCGTTTGCAGGCCTGAGGGAGCTGCATGTGAGCCGCGTGGCCGACTCTATTCTGCAGCAGGTGGGCATGCTCACGAGCCTTGAGGTCTTCTCCTGCACGTGCAGAAAGGGGGTGAGTTCTAGGGGATGGGTCCACCTCAGAGGGCTGCAGAACCTGAAGAGGCTGCAGCTGGCGCCGACAATGCGCGTCGCCAAAGAATCGCTGAAGCTGGCATCTAACGACCACCCCAAGGGGCCGAACCTCAGCTTCTCCAAATCTCGCCTGCCCAAGGTCACCAGAACCTTCCAAAGGCCTTTTAAGAAAGGAACTGCATGCACAAATCGATCTCCCAGCAACCGCATCGACGGCAGCATATGGGAGGTGGTGGCTGCGCTGCCAGGCCTGCAGCACCTGGAGCTACACACAGCAGAGCCCAGCACCACCGCACTAAGGTCCCTCACCAGAATTACGCACCTCAAAACCCTCCACATCACTGGTACATCTCTTGATGACTCTGACTTGCTGTGCTTGAGTGGGTTCTCCCAGCTGACAGACCTCAGCCTGGCTGCCTGCACGTTCGACGCGGATCGGGCTGTGAGGTCGAGAACGGCATCACACAGCTGCAGCTGCAGTCACTGGACCTGTCGGGAACGGCAGTCAGCCAAGGCGCTGCTGTGCATCTGCAAGCGCTTCAGCGGCTGGAGCAGTTGAAGCTGCAGCAGTGCAGCGGCATGAGCAAGCTTTTCGTGCAGCATCTGAGCCGCGTTCCCGCAATGCGGAGTTGGATCTGGGCTGCAACAACATGCAGCATGCTTGGCTGCTGCCGGTTCTGGAAGGGAAGAAGGTGACTCGGCTAGGAGTGAGAGGCTGTTGTTTCGTGGCGAAGACGTTGAAAGGGCTTCAGCGGGCTTGGATTGAGATTGACTCTGGGGGTTGGTGATTGATGTTGGGATGCGTGGAATGGTATGAGTTCCTTAGCATTTGGTGTATGTTGTATGTTCTTCCACCGGTCTCCGCTGCAGCCATGGCTGCGAGCAAGGCAAGCTGATCCTTCGATATTTGCCTCATCAGGGGGCCCATGCGGATGCCTGATGGGTGGAACAGTGTCGCTGGCGCGGGCGGAAGGTTTGCGGCTGGCATGGGCGGCATGGGCTGATTAGCTGGGGCGGATTGCATGGGGGGAGGTGCATACGAGGGTGGTGCTTGTGGCATGGGCTTTTGAGAGGCGGGTCGCGAAGGCTGCGAGTTGTTGCAGTTACTGCTGTTACCGCCGCCCCCTGCGTTCGCCAGAATCACCTGCCCTGGCTGGAACTGCGACCTCTGCAGCAGCGACTTGCGTAGTGGTGGGTATGGGTGGAACCTACGGTATGAGTTCCTTAGCATTTGGTGTATGTTGTAGGTGAGTGTTGCATTGTGCATGCTGTCTGAAAGAAGTTTGAATTGTGAGTGGTGCTGGCAACACCATAGAGATGTGATGCAAATTACCGTAATGTGTAGGGATGTGTATCACAATAACCATAAACGTATGGTATGTTATTCAAATTACTGTAATGTGATGCACACTAAGCATTCTATTGCAGCAGATCTGGTTCAACTTTTGCTATTATCCCCAGTTTTCAACTGATTATGCAAAAGGCCTCACGCAAAAGGCTTCATGCAGGCTAGATGTTTTAAAGTTCTCATGATGTTACCTAAAAATAACCTTCCGGACGATATACACTGTATAGCACTGTGTGGATAATGGAGCACATTAGACTACACACAAAATGGCCCAACTAGCATTACGCCTCCCACATGCTAATGCGCATGCTCCATCATGCGTGATGTCATGCGCGATGCATGATGCTCCTCGTTCCATCCAGGAAGTATCATACACCCATCACTGCCACACACTTCACACCATATAAATATAAGCCCACATGCCATACTCCTTCACTTGCATGCACCTCAAATTTTGACCACCACATGCTCTCACATGCCATACACCACATGCCATACACCACATGCCATACACCACATGCCATACACCACATGCCATACACCACATGCCATACACCACATGCCATACACCACATGCCATACACCGCATGCCATGCAGCATGCGACTTGGATCCCAGCAACAACCATCACATCACGACTCAATCACAATCCAAGGCCGCTCAAGCCCACACACGGTCTTCTCCTTGTAACCACACCCCCTCACACTCAGCCGCCTCACCTGCTTCCCATCCACAACATGCCTCAACCAATCAGCCGGCATGTTGTTGAAGCTCACGTCCAGATCCTTGAGCCGAGGCACGAATCTGAGGTAGCGCAGAAACGACGCACCGAGGTTGCTGCACTGCTGCAGTGTCAAGCGCTCCAAGTGCTTCAAGTGTTTCAGGCCGAGAGCGTCGAGTTTGGTGATTGCCGTTCCAGACAGGTCGAGGGACTCGAGCTTCGGCATGGCGTCTGCTAACTTCCACACCACGCTGTCAGTTGCGAACGTGCAACCGGCCAGGCTGAGGTGGGTCAGCTGAGTCACACGAGTCAACCATGTGAAAGCGGCATGGTCAAGGAAAACCCCGGTGACGTGGAGAGTGGTGAGAAGGTACAGCTTTTCCAGTGCCAGGAAGGCAAAATGGTAGTGTGGTGGTGCATGCAACTCCAGGTGCTCCAGATGCTGCAGCGAGCGCAGCAGACACCACACCCCACTATCGTCCGCTTGGCCCGGCGATCCCTTCAAGTGTTCACTCTCTTGAACACCCTCCCAAAGAACACCCTCCTGCTTCTTCTGTGGCCTCCTACACACTCGCGAGACCACTGGCAATCTTCCCTCGGGATAGTCCATCCTAAGACCATGAGCGCCGAGGTCCGCTGGTGCCACACGTAGCCATCTCAGCTGTTTCAGCCGGTCCAGCGAAATAAAGCCCATAGAGCTGACCCCCTCACAGCACGTGCAGGAGAGGACCTCGAGGCTTGTGAGCGTCCCAACATGCTTCAGAACTGCGTTGGTCACACGGCTCACATGCAGCTCTCTCAGGCTCTTCAGCGGCCAGGGCCCCGTTTTGAAGGCCACAGTTGAGGGCCCTGGGCAATCGAGCACGAGTCGGTGGAGGCGAGAGAAGGGCTGGATGAGGGACAGGGCGGATGGAGCGATGGGGGATTGAAGGAAGGAGAGGGAGGTGAGGGATGGGAGGTGGACGAGGACGAGCATGTCACGGGTGGAGACAGTGACGCGGTCGAGTGTGAGGGAGGTGAGGGACGGGAGGAGCGTGGGGCAGCAGGTGGGAGCGAGTGAGAGAAAGTAGTGGAGGTTGCGGTGGGAGAGGGTGATTTCCTGTAATTCAGGGGTGCTCTGCGGTGCTGCTGGGTTGCCGTTGAGCTGCTGCGTTTCAGGAACGATCCGCTGCAATGTCGGTGTGCTCTGCTGTGTCTTGAGGGGCAGAGAAGAGAGAAAGCAGACCATATGGTTGATCACGCGTGTCTGAATCTGCTGCTTATCGGGAGGGATTTGCCGCAGCAAGGGATCGATTTCCTCCTGCAGACGCGCCTTGAGTGCCTCGTCACTGAGTTTCCCTCCCACTAATGCGCTCGGCACCTCCCCACGTGCAGCCCCCTTGCTTTGTGACGGCCGCCCTGCTGCTGCCGCCGCTGCTGCTGCTGCTTCTCCACACAGCCCCGCCCTGTGCGCCCATCGCTCCACAGACGCTACCAGGTCGTTCCCCACCGGCCCATCTGCCTCTCCTGCAGCACTCTCCTCCATTGTCCCCCGCATAATATCCCTAGCTGCGTTCCCTACCCCGGCCCCCTTGTCCTGCCCCCCTTCGTTTCCATTGATGAGGGGCTGCTTGTGAAGGGAGGGGGGAGCAGATGGATGGTGCGGGGTCATGGAGAAAAAAGAGTTGGAATCGGGAGGAGCAACAAGGTGAAGATATGTACAACTACTTATTTGCTGATATAATAACACCTTTGTTTATTATTGTATATTTAGGTTTTTTTACAGTAAAAACTGGAGAAAATAAGGAGAGAGAAACGAGAAACAACAAGAGTGGAAGGGAAGAGAAGGAGCGGGAAGGGCAAAGTCAAGGCCGCCTCTCAACTCAATGCCACCTCACCTCAACCAGGTCATAGTTATCTCCCACTCCCTCCGCCATTGCGTCCTCCTCTGCATCTTCGACCTCATTCTCACAATTCTCTGCAGCTCCTTCCGTCTCTGCCGCCCCCTCCCTCTCTGTTGCTCCCTCCCTCTCCGCCGCGTTCCCTTCATCTCCCCCCAGCCCTGCTCCTGCTGCCTCCACTGGCTCCTCCCCTCGCCCTTCTCCCAGCACAGCGTCCTCCATCTCATCCCGTGCTTCTCCAGCAGATTCACGCTTCGACTCGTCTTCATCCGCGTCCTCCGTTGTCTCGTCTACCAGATCAATCGTCTTTTCCTCCTCCTCGTCCCTCATCCCCACCTCCTCCCCCCCTTCCTCCTCCGCTTCCGCCTCTTTCTCCCCATCCCCCGCCTCCTCCTCCTCCTCTTCCTCCTCGTTCTGATCATCCTTCTCCTCCTCCCCACTTTGCTCCTTGTTGCTCCCTCCCCGCTCACCCCCGCCCTCCATTCTTCCCCCCTGCGCCTGCTCCCCCCCAATTCCGCGCAGAGATCTCCCCACTCCGCGCACCTTCTCTCGGATGGCATCCGCATGGGCTGACAGCGCGGCCAGATGTTGCTGCTGGGACGGAGAAGCAGGGGACAAGGTGGAAAACGGGGGGGAGGACTGACATGGCGGCCAGATGTTGCTACGGGGAGGGGGGAGCAGGGAACAGAGGGGAAAGGGGAAGGGGGGAAGGGGGGGAAGGGAAGGGGGGCTTTGGTTATGACGCGCCCATTCACCCCACCTTCGGAACCCTGTCTCAGATGGCCTCCCGTATCAGCTGACAGGGCGGCCAAATGGTGCTACGGGTAGGGGAAACAGGGACAATTGGGCTAGGTCTTCGAGTGATGCGTCCATCTCCCCAGTCGAAACCTACTCTCCATGGCCTCAGATGCCCCTCAGACTGATCAGTTTGCATGGGTTGATGACAGGTCGACCACATGCTGCTGCTGTAAGGCGAACATGAGACTATGGGGTCGGTGACAGGGGGTATGGGGTCGGTGACAGGGGGTATGGGGTCGGTGACGAGAGGTATGGGGTCGATGACAGGGGGTATGGGGTCGATGACAGGGGGTATGGGGTCGGTGACAATGGGTATGGGGTCGGTGACAGGGGGTATGGGGTCGGTGACAGGGGGTAAGGGGACGGTGACAGGGGGTATGGGGTCGGTGACAGGGGGTATGGGGTCGGTGACAGGGGGTATGGGGTCGGTGACAGGGGGTATGGGGTCGGTGACAGGGGGTATGGGGTCGGTGACAATGGGTATGGGGTCAGTGACGGGGGGTATGGGGTCGGTGACATGGGTATGGGGTCGGTGACAATGGGTATGGGGTCGGTGACAAGGACCATGGGTTTGGGTCCACTTCGCTGCAACCAGATGCATGTACTACCTTGGAGGCGTTGAAGACAAGGCAGTACCTCCCGAGCAATTCTCAGCATATTGCCCCAGATGTCGCATTAATGGTTCGACACGCGAGATATGTGCGACCATGCGATACATGCGCGACAAACGCGACACATGCGACACCACACACGGGAGGCGACGCACTCACCATCACCATCGGTTCTGAGAAAGAACCATCCGCCACGCGAGCTCGCTTGCGCCCTGCCTTAGTACCCAAAGATGATGGCGCCGCGCCGCTCTCCCATTCCGTCCTAATCGCGTCCGCCAGCGCGGAAATCGCCTCCACCTTCTTCTCAATCCACTCCTCCAATTCCGCCATCGCTTTCCCTATCTCGTTCGTTTCCTCGTCGCGGCTCATCGCCCCCGTTTCTATCACAGTCGTCGCCTTCACGTTCTCCTGTAAGTTCGTTTCGTCACCCCCATCCATGATTTCGTCCTGCGTGTTCCGCCCATGCGTGACATCCGTCGCATTTATCGCATTTATCCCAATTATTGCACCCCTCGCATCGATCGCATTCTGCGCATTCGCCGCATTTCTCCCCTTAGCTGGAGCCGTCGATCTGCGCCGGCCGGTTACCGGGCGGTGACCAGCGAGTCGCCATACCATCACTACGGCGCGGCAGAGCTAGTATGTGGACGGAAGACGAGAGAAAGAAATGCAATAATTCTACTAGCGATGCAGGCTGTGAGGAGACGGCTGGAACAGGCAGTGATTATGGGTGAGAAATTCATCAGCTGCAAGAAATTATTAGCAATGCATGCCCATGACTCTCGAAACGAAGATGGAACGCACATAGTTGCAAGCACGAATGGGAAGGGAAATGAGTTGCTGGGGCTACCATACTAACGGTGCGGCAGTGGAGTTCGCTAGGGCGTGTTCTCGTTCCGACAAGGAGGGTTGCAGAAAAACCTCCGATTCGAACGGGGCATGATGTTTGCTGATTTCGTTCTCTGGTTTCGTTCACTTTCCGGCGTTTAGGTATTCTGTCCTGGCCGTGGTTCGAGATCCAACTCTCATCGAACGCGCATTAAATGACCTGACGCAGCGCAACTTCGGTTCCCAGCGATCAGGAAATTCATCCAGCTTGAAATTTGAATTTCAAAGCAAATAATCCCCGCTCTAGTGAGCTCCTTCGAAACACCTGAGTGCTCTACAGTCTACGCACTTGCCATAATGATCCATCCATTTGTATCAAAGGTGCAACTAGCAAGCAATTGAGAGAGGGTTATGATATTGAGGAAAAGGATAAAGAGACATGGGAAAACATGTGTAGTGAGATCATGGTAACGATAACTCATATTTCGATGTTTTGGCGGTGAGGTTAGGCACAACAAAAGCTTAAGCTCGGATTGTGAATTACTAGCCAAGTCGTATGTATTGGGGTCAGGGCTGACGATGTCAGACTATTTTAGTCTGATTGTCTGAAATTTCAGACTATTTTCCTGACATTCCTGATTTTTCAGAGTTGGCTGGTTTTGAAAAATGAGTGCTTCAGACTAATGGTTTTTTCGATACTGAAAAATTCAGAGAACTTGCTTACCGGATAATGAGTTTTCATACTACAGAGTACGAACTCCCCTTCGCCATACCTGTTACTTCGAGGAAAACCCATCCCTCCGAACTTCTGCAAAAGGTTCGTTAGTAGGAAAACCTGCCTTAGTCTATGAATTATAAAATTTTCAGAGTTATACTTCTCTGGTTCCTGAGAAATCAGAGTATTCACTTTTTGGAAAATGGGCCTCAGACTAAAAAAAATTGGGGGGCCAAAAAAATCAGAGTGGTTTTATTCGAAAAGTCAGCCCTGATTGGGGTCGAATCTGGACCCCATAAATCATAGAAAATCGTCAGAGCGTACTCCGATCCATCAGAGTTTTAGCGAGGTCCTAATCTGATTTTGTCTATGTGAGATTCTCGCCGACGGCCGTGATTAGCGATTGAATCACAGTTTTGTTCTGTAAATCACGCTAATACAATGAGAACAACCAATTTTTAGGCTGTGATGCAGTGTTGCGGCGCGGTTATGACCTCATTGGCACCAGCGGAGACTAATTTCAGTAGCTGATGTCAAAGTACATATATTGTTGTGTAGGTGTCAGAATCCCAGCCACTAACCACTGGGATAAAAGGGCTTGTTTGTGTAGCGGGTGAGTGCGCCCAGAACCCCCCAGGCCAACGTGCCTGTAACCCTTCCCTAGCATCAATCGGGGATCTCCAGTGCACCTTTGACACCCCCTCGCACTGGGATGCCTGAAGTGCACACTGAGATTCGAACCCGAGACATACGCTCTGGTACCATGTCAGAATCCAAGCCACTAACCACTGTGATAAAATGGCTTGTTTGTGTAGCGGGTGAGTGCGCCCATAACCCCCCAGGCCAACGTGCATGTTTGTGTCCCTAGGATCAATCGGGGATCTCCAGTGCACCTCTGACAGTAGGTTGTAGTGGGGTACTCATTTATGGGTACAACCCTTTTATGGTTGCACATTTGTACTCCTAATCCTGCTAGTGAACATCATTCCTACCAGTTACATTCTAACATGGTTTCAGAGTAGGTCGATCCTTAGTACCGATTTTTTCTAGGACCCACCGTTCGTTCTTACCCTGCCCGAAGATCCTGCCCTGCCCCTAACGATCGCGACCCCCCTCCCCCCCTGCCCGCTAGCGCTGCCCTGTCCTGCCCTCCCCGCGATTGCGCTTGCCCTGCCCCGCACGCGCTGCCCGCGCGCGTCGGCCTTGCCCCGCCTGTCCTGCCCGCATGTGCGCCTGCCCAGCCCTGCAAGCGCGCCTGCCCTGCCCCGCAAGCGTGCCTGCCCTGCCCCGCACGCGCTGCCCGCACGCCTGCGCCTTGCCTGCGCACCTGCGCCTTGCCCGCGCGCGCCTGCCCTGCCCGCAAGCGCCTGCCCTGCCTGCGCGCGCCTGCCCTGCCCTGCAAGCGCGCCTGCCCTGCCCTGCACGGGCTGCCCGCGCGCCTGCGCCTTGCCCGCGCGCCTGCGCCTTGCCCGCGCGCGTGTGCCCTGGCCCGAGCGCCTGCCCTGCCGTGCTGCTGCCTTGCACGCGCAGCTGCCCTGCCCTGCCTGATCGCGTGCGCCTTGCACCGAGCGCCTGCCCTGCCGCGCGCTGCAGACTTGCGCGCACAGCTGCCTTCCCTGCCAGCGCGCGTGCGCCCTGCCCCGCGCGCCCGCCTTGCCCACGCGCGTGTGCCTTGCCGTGCGCACCCTGCGCTTCCAGCGCGCATGCGCCCTGCCCCGTGCGCCTGCCCTGCTCGCTCGCGTGCGCCTTGCCCCGAGCGCCTGCCCTGCCCGTACGGGCTGCCCCCCTAGGTGCTGCTACTACCGCCCTAAGTCTTGCTGGCGCCACCGCTGCTACTACTGCCGCCGCTGCAGTCACTACTGCCGCCTTTGCGCCGCTACTACTGACTGCCATTGCCTGTCATGGCCCCTAATTCTGTTTTAGCGGTTGACGTAGACGGCCACCCGTTCAAGTTGGAGTTGTGGCTGGCGTGCCTGCACATGTATCTCCGGCGTTTCCTTAGATATGGCGTCTCCCTGCTCGAGCATACGTCGGGGTCCCTTCAGGCCCCCACGAATCCCACTGAGCCTGCTGCTGACGCTGGCGAAGCCGGGTAGCGGCGGTACCGGGCGGACAGCGTTGCCTGCACACAGTGGACGGAGGGCGACGCTGTCGCAGAGCTTGCTGTTCGCGCTCACATGCCGGTCGACCAGAGGACCCACTTTCGTCAGGTGACGTTGGCCCTCACTTTCTAGGACGCTGTGGTTAGGCACTACTCCTCACTCTCTCCTGCCACCCGGCCACTGCGGCAGAGTCGTCCTCTACTAGGGGAGGTACAGCAGCTGGTCGAGGAGGCGAGTGTAGGTACCTGTGCGTCTACTCCTGCTGGTGGTGCCGCTGGTGGCCGCGGAGGTTATGGGGGTGGACAGCAGCAGCAGCAGCGTTCGCCGGAGACCCTCTCGCCGCAGCAGCTTCGTGAGTGGGATGTTCGGTGGGGCAGCCCCGGTGGCGGAGCTTGGGGTACTAGTGTTGGGGGTGTAGAGGCACCTGGTGGTGTAGAGGCTGCTAGTCTAGGTGCTTCTGACTCAGCTAGCACAGGTGCAGAGCCTGGGGAGGCCTTGCACACTTTCCTACTCGACTCAGGCGTGTCTGGCTACTTCTTCTGCGACTGCACCACAGTCACACCGCTCACAGCCCCTGTCCCTATCACTCTGGCCGACCCCTCTGGTGGCCCAGTCGTTGCACGTGGCTACACTGTTCTCCCGTGTCCGGCAGCCCCCTCTGGTTCCCTCACAGGTCTCCACCTCCCCTAGTTCGCTAAGAACTTGGTGGCTACCACTCTCCTACAGGACCAGTTGGTCACTGTTACACAGTCTGGTGGAGAGCTCGTGACAATCGGTACGGACTCACGCACTGGCGAGCACCTCGCCACGTTCACTCGGAGGCCCGGGTCTGGCATGTACACACTGACCACTGAGTCTGCACAGGTGGCTGACTCAGGTCAGGTAGTTGCGTCGGTTGAGGTAGCTGCGTCGTGTTCGTGTCATCTCCTCACGCACCAGACTCTCCTCTGGCACCACCGTCTTGGTCACCCCTCCCTGCCGCGTCTGCGTAGCATGCACTCTCGTCTCCTGGTCCCTGGCCTCCCCAGGTCCCTGCCCCCCGCTCCCGAGGTCGTCTGCGCCGCCGTGCCTTCCCTGCGTTGAGGGGCGGCAGCGCTCCTCACTCCTCCTCGTTTCCTCCTACCACAGCTCCTCTGCAGACCCTCCACATGGACGTGTGGGGGCCAGCCCGAGTCACTGGACAGGGTGGCAAGCGCTACTTTCTGCTGGTTGTTGACGACTACACGCGCTACACCACGGTCTTCCCCTTGCAGAGCAAGGCGGATGTCCATAGAATCTTGATCCGCTGGATCCGCGCTGTCCGTCGCCAGCTCAGCGCTCGGTTTTAGCAGGACCTCCTCGTCCTGCGGCTGCACTCTGACCGAGGTGGTGAGTTTTCCTCCCGCCTCCTCGAGGACTTCTGTGGTGCTGAGTTCATCACCCAGTCGTTCACTCTTCCGACCTCTCCACAGCAGAATGGGATTGCAGAGCGCCGCATTGGCTTGGTCATGGAGGTTGCTCGCACCTCCATGGTCCATGCGGCGGCTTCCCATTTTCTGTGGCCGTTTGCGGTCCGATACGCCGCGCAGCAGCTCAACCTCTGGCCCCGTGTCTCCCACCCGGAGACCTCCCCTACTCTGCGGTGGACAGGAGAGGTTCGTGACGCGTCGGCGTTTCGGGTCTGGGGTTCCCTTGCTCGTGTCCGCGATCCTCCCGCGGGCAAGCTCTCTCCTCGCACTCTTCGTTGCGTCTTCCTTGGCTTTCCTACCGACGCCCCGCCCTGACAGTTTTACCACCCGGGGTCGCGCCGTGTCTTCTCCTCCCAGGACGTCACCTTTGACAAGTTTGTCTGCTTCTACCGTCTCCACCCCCACCGCAGTTCTCCCGTGCCCCTCCCGCCTCTCTTCCTGGTACCCGACCCCCCCTCCCTGGTAAGCCCCTTCCCCCCGCAGGGTCCTGCTCCCTCAAGTGTGTCCCAGGTTGACCCACCCCCCTTGGTTGCGCCGTTGGAGGTCTCCTCCGACACCTCTGGCCCAGCTGATGGGGGTGACCCAGCTGCAGACGACACAACAGCCACTCGCCGCTCATTGCGCTTGGCGACCCCTCCTGGGTTTCCGCCTCGGCCGTCTTCATCGCCTCTGCAGCCAGTCGCTGTGGACTCTGGTGCTGCAGGAGGTGGTGATACCGGGGGTGCGGACTCCGGGGGTGCTGGTTCTGGGGGTGCTGAGTGTCCTACTGGTGGTCGAGTTGTGGGTACCCCTGCTGGAGACTCTGGGAGTGGACGTCAACGACAGGTGAGTAGGCAGGAGACTCTCTCGCCGCGGCAGCTTCGCGAGTGGGCTGTCCGGTGGGGCAGCCCCGGTGGCGGAGCTGGAGGTGCTGGTGCTGGAGGTGCTGGTGCTGGAGGTGCTGGTGCTGGAGGTGCTAGTGCTGGAGGTGCTGGTGCTAGAGGTGCTTGCGGAGATAACTTTAGCAACAGGAGCTAGACTACGGGATAGGCACGGGTGCTCGTGTGATCTCTGCGTTCGTTCGTTCCTTAGTCGTTTCCTTGTGCGCACACTGCTTGCTAGTTCACGGGGAAAGTTGACAAGAGTTCCACTAGGAAAAGTTCAGAACAATGGTTACAACAACATTGGCAACACAGACTATATCAGAGCTAGCTAGGCTGCTGGTCGACCTCCAGCGCAGCATGGTCGACCGCGCTCCAGCGCAGCAGCGCTCGCACCGCTCCAGCGTTGCAGAGTAGCGGTGCGCCAACGTTGCAAGTCCATGGTGTGCCAACGCTGCAGCAAGTCGGCTGCACAGCGTTGCACCCGCAGGACAACGGTGCATCTGCTTCGCAGGTGCGCGCAGCTGGTTGGCGCTCCACACCTTGTCACGAGCACAGCGCAGACGCCTGGCAGACTCCACGCCAGCGACTGCGCCCACCAGCCACGTCGGCCTCGGGATACCACCCCCGAGGTCGGCCTCACAGACTCCACCCCAGCGACACTCGCGCACGTCGCCTGGGTATCCCGGTCGACCGGGCAACCACGCCTGATCGACCAGCGCAGTCCGTAGTCGGCCACCAATGCCCGGCGTCCCCAGTCCGGCGTCCAGACGCCCAGGACACCGTCCGAACCCCCAGGTCGGCGTCCAGACGCCCACGACGCCTTGCAGACGTCCAGGGCGGCGCCCAGCCTCCCAGGACGCCGACCAGACGCCCAGGTCGGCGTCCGGGCCCCCAGGACGCCCAGGTCGGCGTCCGGGCCCCCAGGACGCCGTGCAGACGCCCAGGGCGGCGTTCCAGGCTCCTAGGACGCCGTGCAGACGCCTAGGTCGGCGTCCGGCCTTCCAGGACGCTGTGCGGACGCCCAGGTCGGCGTCTAGCATCCCAGGACGCCAACCAGGCGTCCAGGACGCCGACCAAGCGTCCAGGACGGCGTCCTCCTGCCCGGCGCCCTCCAGCCAGGCGCCCTCCAGCTCGGCGCCCTTGCAGTGGCCCCTGTGCCCATTGCTGCAGGTCGGCTGCAACCCCCGCACATCCGACCACGAGGTCGGCTCCGCCCAAGCGAGGACGGGGCCAAACAACACTCCTGTTGACAGTGCTGGTGCTGGAGGTGCTGGTGCTGGAGGTCTTGGTTCACGTCAACAGGAGATTCTCTCGCTGCAGCAGCTTCGCGAGTGGGTTGTCCGGTGGGACAGCCCCGGTGGCGGAGTTGGAGGTGCTGGTGCTGGAGGTGCTGGTACTACTGAAGCTGGAGGTGCTGGAGGCCGGTTGAGCGAATGTCTATCCATTTTTCTGTCGCATCACGGGCCAAGAGGCAACAGGGAGGTGACGGTCAACAGCGTTGACTCCGATGGGTGATTGACACGCTTCAACTTTATGTTTCACGAGGATCCGTTGGAGGATTTTGGTGGGCGAGGGACACATGATGGGTGCGTGGACGTCTGCATGGAGTTTGCGGAGTTGATTGTCAACAACCTCCGTTCAAGTCTTGGCGACGTGGAGGCACTGTCAGGGGCGCGCCACCTCAACGCGATCTAGCAATCGATCCAGCAAAATCAATCCTCCACTGAAGTACGATCATGCGTATCGCATTCAAACGTTTTGTATATTTTTTTAGCCACGCTAAAATTTGATCCTTCGCATGATCGATCGCAAGATCGTTGTTGTGTTGACGCGTCCCCAATGCATGTCCCATATCAAATCTTAGGCTATTGTGGGCATCTCTTAAAGTCGTCCCGCCGCCCTTCTTCCATTTCTAATCTCGTCGCGCATGCTCTGCTGGGCGCGCCCTGCTTCCCTCCGTTGTGCAACATGCCTCACCTCCACACGTGTGTATTCCCTCACCTTTTGCGCGTGCCCTGCCTCACCCTTTCACGCTCGCCCCCCATCCCCTCATCGCTTGCAACCTTCCTCTCTACGTCGAGCCAGCCTATCCCCGCGTCCCACTCACGCCCTGCTTCCGCCGCGCGCCCTGCTCCAGCCACGCAACCTGCTCCAGTCGCGCGCCCTAATTCAGCCGCGTGCCACCACCAGCCCACTGGTACCCTCTCCAGCCATTGGCCCTCTCTCCTCACTCTCTTCGCCTCTTCACCCTCCCCTCCTCTTTTCTGCCCTTTCTATCCTGCCCCCCTCTCACACCTTCCCCTGCCTCCTTCTTCCACCCTTCCTCCTCCTCGTTTTCCTCCCCTCATTTTCTCAGCAATAGCTTCCCCCGCAGCTTTCCCTCCACCTCGTTATTCCCCCTTCAGTTGCTTATCTGTAGATTCTTCCACCGTGATTCCTCCTCCTCTTTTTCTTTCCCTACAAAGCAGCAGTTTCCCTCAACGTTTTTCCACCACCTCCTAATTCAATCCTCATCTGCTTAGCAGCAATGAAACCCCATCATTATTCCTCCTCCTCTGATTTCTCTCCTGAGTAGTGGTTTCCCCCATTGTTATCCCTCCCCCTCTTGGTTCTCCCTTCATTTGCTCAGCAGTTGACTACCACGCCCACTATTCTTCCTCCTCTTTTGTCTCCCCACATCTGCTCAGCAGCTGACTATTCCACCCGCTATTCGTCCTCCTCTTTTGTCTCCCCACATCTGCTCAACGACAGTCTCCTCCACCTTATATTGCCCATTCTTGCCCTTCCCTCTCTCCCTCTACGCTACTGCCCTCCCACTCCTACTACTGTACCTCTTCCCTCAACCCCCCTCTCCCCTCCCTCACCCCCTTCTCCGCCGTCGTTTGCGTGCGCTGCCCCACCCGCCCTCGCACCACCCTTCCTTCATGCTGCTCTACCTCCTCTCTGCCCCACACTCCTAATTGACTTCAGCTGTTGCATCGGCGTCAGTAGTCCTCTGCCCTGTCCATTCTTGCCGCTGTGACCTTCGGTGTTGGTACACTGGCCTCTGCTTTCAGTGTGCCCATGCCTTCTTAGAATATCATTTTGGGAGCTTGTCCTCTCGTGAACTCTCGCTTTGCCATGCCGTTTCCTTGTCCTACTGCTGTTGCTCTTTCTATTCCTCTCACCTTAGACTTTGTCCTTGACAGTGCTGGTACTGACTTTGTTTCCCGTGATGCTTGTGTCCTACGCTCCTTTCCCCACCCCCTCTCTATTCATGGGATTGGGGAGACCATGACTATGACCTGCACTGGCACCTCCTCTCTTCCCTATCCTACCTCCCCCTCTGGCGCTGCTACTTCTCTCTTAGAGCGTGGCACCATTTTGCCACCCCATGGTTCGAACCATCGACCGTTCGAACCGTGGGGTGGTAATTGTATTCGCCAGGCTTCGCATAGGTTTTCACTAGCATGCATGCAACGTCGCATGCATACCGCATCGGTGTGTCACTTTTCTCGCTTTTGTCAGGTCAAAACTGCATTTCATTCGTCGTCCGTTTTCCGAACGGACGACTCAACAGTATGTCAAATATAATATCCCACTGTAGGCTATATTGGGGTACTCATTAGGGGGTACAACCCATTAGGGTTTCCTACTTGTATGATTGTACCCCTCCATTCTAGTCACTCTTGTTTTCGTAATTTGACATGGTTTCAGAGTAGGTCCCATTCTATGACCGATTTTTTTTAGGGCCCACCGATTAGTTCCGCCCTGCCCGACGTTTCTTGCCCTGCCCAGCGCTATCGAGCTGCCCTGCCCTGCCGCGCGCTGCCCTTCTCGCCGCGGGCGTGCCCTGCCCTGCCCGGCGCTATCGCGCACTGCCCTGCCCTGCTGTCGCGCGTGCCCCGCTGCCCAGCGCCCGCGCGCGCCCCGCTGCCCAGCGCTCGCGCGTGCCCCGCTGCCCAGCGTCCGTGGGCGCCCTGCTGCCCCGTACCTGCGCGTGCCCAGCTGCCCAGCGCCCGCGCCCGCCCCGCTGCCCAGAGCCAGCGCGCGCCCTGTTGCCCCGTACCTTCGTGTGCCCCGCTGCCCAGCGCCCGCGCGCGCCTCGCTGCCCAGCGCCCGCGCGTGCCCCACTGCCCAGCGCCCGTGCGCGCCCTGCTGCCCCGTACCTTCACGTGCCTCGCTGCCCAGCCCCCGCGCGCGCCCCGCTGCCCAGCGCCCGCGCGCGCCCCGCTGCCCAGAGCCAGCGCGCGCCCTGCTGCATTGTTGTCGCCGATAGAAAGCATCAAGGGATGTGATTGGCTGTTTCAGCAATCACATCACCAATGGGCCAATACAAGCGGGACACCCACCGTCTGTGCTGCACAGCAACGCACTGCGTGCCCCCACGATATGGACCCCCACCTCACCCCATCTCACCCACCCCGAACCTGCGACCAAGTACGTGCATGGTGCCCCCACGTCGCATCGCGTTGCAGCTGGGTGGTGAGAACGAGAGGTTCTTCTTTTACCTCGCTCTCTTGGAAACCCCACTGTACCCACCCACCAAGCGAGCTGCACTCTCAATCTCCGCCTCTCGTCCTGATTTTTCCTAACCCTAGCAACGAAAAAGCTCGGCACGCTCTCGCCGTTCAGCCATGGTTGGCCTTGCCGAAGGCTCTGCTGGCGACGACGATACAGATCTAGATTGTGATGAAGTAGACGGCCTAGAGGAAGCCAGGACGGGGCTTGATCTGCTCCTGCGATCGCTAGGCCGTGATTTCGTCGCACCAAGGCCGCCTTCAGCAAACCCTGCTCGTGTCGTGAGAGGCGACCACCCTCCTGTTTGTTCAAGCCTGGATTTGATCCGGAGTGAACATGCTGCGCCGGCTGCCGTTCCAGATACTGTGGTAGTCGAGAAGCCTACATCTAAGAGGTCTGCCCCTCGCAACTTCAAGCTGAAACAGTCGACGCTGAGTTGGGCAAGGCCATCCTCCAGCGCCGCCGTAGAGCAACCCGTCGTGCAAAACACTTCCCCTCACCCACCCCTGGATCTGAACATATCTGAGCATATCGATGGTGTTTATGCTGAGGCCCTCGAGAAGTACAAGTCTAAGTGGTCAGAAAGGTTCCCGTGGCTAATACTAACGAAATCTAAATCCGGATTCCTTGCTTTCAAGTGCAGTGTCTACACCAAGCATGCTGGAGTCAGGGGTCACTGTGGCAAGACTGGGAGAGGGGCGACCGACGTGCAGGCATTTCGCAAGCACGCCGGTACGACGAAACACAAGCTGGCGATGGAGAAGCAGGAGGCACTACTGAACGCGGCGTCCAAGCAGCCACGGATCGACGAACTCCGTGCGGCCGTCGATGCAGAAAAGATCCGAGTCGTTGCACTACTCGACGCATTGCTATTCGTCAGTCAGTGCGATGCACCCATGGGAACATGGGTGAAGCTGGTGCAGTACCTCGCGCGAAAGGGTGTTCACGGGTTCCCGAAGAAGGGTTACGGGACCTACTACACTTCGTGAGTACTAGTCTGCAAAGTTTGTTGTTGCTATTTATGATTCTTTAATATATATTAATCTATCTTACACTGCTATTTGTTCTTATGGCAGGTACGGCTACGGCGAGCTCACGCAGTCCATCGCCACATGGCTACAGACAACGCAGCTGGAGCACATCTTGACCTCCCCCTTCATCGGCATCAGCAACGATGAAAGCACCGATCGGCTGAGGGGGAAGCACATGAGTTTATACGCCGCCTTCATCCGCGACAACGTCCTCGTTATCGAGTTCATGCTGTTGCTGACCGTGGATAAAGCATGCGCCTCTTCTCTTCTCAGCCTCCTCCTGTCCTACTAGCAGGCTGTCGGCATCGACCTGCAGAGGATTTTCCGCATCAGCACCGACGGTGTGAGAGTGATGATGGGGACTAAGGCGGGACTGGTTGTTCGCCTACGTGAGAAGGTTCCACATCTTGTCTCCTGTCACTGCATCGCTCAACGGTAAGTGAGCGACTTCATGTGCCCTGCGTTTGCTTAATTCTCTTGTATTTGACTCAATCACCTTTTTTTCCTTCTTGTTGTATCCATGGCAGGGAGGCTCTTGCAGCGAAGGACGCGGCCGAAGAGCTCCCGGTCTTCGACATGGTGGACGATCTCATACGGGCCGTCTCCGAGCTTCTCGGTCGGTCTGGTCCTCGCCATGCACGCTTCATCGACCTGCAAGAACTATTCACCGAGACAAGCCTTGAAGTCCAAGGCATTCACCAGATTCGCTGGCTGTCTCGGGGGGATGCAGTCCGGCGGCTCATTGCAGTGTTACCGGCAGTGATTGTCTTGCTGAAAGAGCTTAACAGCAAGATGTATGCACTTGTAACCTCGTACCGGTTTCACTGTTTCCTGTTCTTTCTGGCGGATGTGCTTGAGCAGCTTAACATTCTGAACAAGACATTCCAGCAGAGGCAGGTGAGGAAAAGATGTTTATATCTTGCTATTGTCAAATATAGGAGGAGTACGGCCTAGGCTTAGTAGCCTAGGCCACAGTAGGACTAGTAACGAGGAGCCAAGTACGAGCTAGGAATGTGGGTAGGAACAGAATTGAGAAGGGAATGATTGAACAAGCAAGCAGCAGGATACAAATAGCAAACCCTAAGGGGCTGTACTCACTATAGAGTACCCCACTGCAGGCTACACAAACAACATATTATGACACACCCCCATAGCCAAAGTGGGGTGTAATCAGCACAATGAGCAGTCATAGCAATAGTTCATAATTATCAGCAAAGCTAGAGGCTATCACAGAGGGCAAGTGAGGAGGAGGAGGGACTATGAAAGGAGAGAAGATGGGAGGCGACGACTGAAGCTGCAGACACACGGGCAACAGAAGCGGCTGACACAGTGGCGGCTGACACAGTGGCTACCGAGACAGAGCGCCCCGGAATACTGGAGTAACTGGCTCTGCGGCTACGACGAGCGGCAGAAGCAACGGACCCACGGGCGACTGGTGCAGCAGGCTCTCAGTGGCTACCGAGACAGTGCGTCCCGGAATACAGGAGTAACAGGCTCTGCGGCTGCGACGAGCGGCAGGAGCAACGGACCCACGGGCAACAGGTGCAGCAGGCTCTCTGAGCTACTAGGACAGTGCGCCCCGGACTACAGGTGCTGCGGACGACAAGACAGCAGCCTCCACTCAACCTCCCCCAACAGTCCCACACCCCTCTCACACACCCCCTGCTTCACCCCTAGCTCCACTCCCACATCACCCCCCTAGTGCCACTCCCCACGACTCCCACACCTCCACCCCCCTCAGCGGCAGCTGCAGCAGTGGGAGACGAAAAAGGAGGAGGGGAGAACCCACACCTCTCACCCCCATGCTCGCCACCCCACACCCCAGCCACCGCGGAACGCACGGTGGAATGGGAGCAAGGGGCAGCACGGGGGGGGGGGGGGGGGACGGAGCGGGCTTCTGCAGAGGCGGCTCGCGCGGGTCCTGGGGCAGCTGCTGCAGGTGCGGGCTGCTCCAGGGGCGGCTGCTGCAGGTGCGGGCTGCTCCAGGGGCGGCTGCTGCAGGTGCTGGCTGCTCCAGGGGCGGCTGCTGCAGGTGCGGGCTGCTCCAGGGGCGGCTGCTGCAGGTGCGGGCTGCTCCAGGGGCGGCTGCTGCAGTGGCGGGCGGCTCCAGGGGCTGCTGCTGCAGTGGCGGGCGGCTCCAGGGGCTGCTGCTGCAGTGGCGGGCGGCTCCAGGGGCGGCCGCCGCAGTTGAAAGGCAGAAGGGGGGGGGGGGGGGGGGAACGCACGGCCCCCAGGGCGCCCCGAGGGGCGACGAGAAGGGAGCCGCGCGGCCCCCCCCCCCGGGGCGCCGCGACGGGCACCAGGGAGGGCGCCGCGACGAGCCCCCAGAGCCGCCTCGACGGGCGACGGGGAGGGTGCCGCGCGGGCCCCCCGAAGTCGCCTCGACGGGCGACGGGGAGGGCGCCGCGCGGGCCCCCCGAAGTCGCCTCGACGGGCGACGGGGAGGGCCGCGCACGGCCCCCGAAGTCGCCTCGACGGGCGACGGGAGGGGACCGCGCGCGGCCCCCGTGGTCGCCACGACGGGCGACTGGTGGGGAGGCCGCGCGGGCCCCCAAGGTCGCCTCGACGGGCGACGGGAGGGGAGGCCGCGCGGGTCCCCGAGGTCGCCTCGACGGGCGACGGGAGGGGAGGCCGCGCGGGTCCCCGAGAGCGCCTCGACGGGCGCTTCGACGGGAGGGGACCGCGGAGGCCCCCCCAAGGGCACCACGACGGGCGCCACGGAAGGGAAAACCGCCAGGCGCCCCGAGCGCGCGGCGGGCAGAAATTAGGGTTTCGCCGCCGCGCACCACGGGGCGCGCGGCGGACAGTACGGCAGCGGAAGCGGGTGGTGGGCCCATACACAGGAAGGCGGCAGACATGCCGCCCTCTGATACCATGTCAAATATAGGAGGAGTACGGCCTAGGCTTAGTAGCCTAGGCCACAGTAGGACTAGTAACGAGGAGCCAAGTACGAGCTAGGAATGTGGGTAGGAACAGAATTGAGAAGGGAATGATTGAACAAGCAAGCAGCAGGATACAAATAGCAAACCCTAAGGGGCTGTACTCACTATAGAGTACCCCACTGCAGGCTACACAAACAACATATTCTGACAGCTATGTGCTTGCTCAATGCTCCCTTGCCCAGCTCAGTGTTTATATCTTGCTATATGCTTGCTCAATGCTCCCTTGCCCAGCTCAATTTTTATATCTTTCTATGTGCTTACTGGTTTCTGTTTCCCCTTGCCCAGCTCAACCTGGTCTCTTTGTATGTGCAGATCAAGCGGACAACGTCGCATATTGAGAGACGTTACGTGGATTGCGGGGATGACTTCGGCGGTGGCATGAGCCACTGACTCTCGCCTTTCCTGGAGCGCCATTGACCTGGCTGCAACCGTACAGTGACTGTGGAGGGTGTTGACACTGACGGACGACCAGCAAGCTTTTCATTCACCCTCCATGAAGACCCAGTGGATCCCTACAGCGGCCCTGAACACCACGACGGCTGCGTCGACTTGTGCACGGAGTTCGCCGAGCGCATCGTGGCGGACCTGCTGGGGCGGCTTGGTGACCTGGACTCCCTCTCTGGGGTCCGACTCTTCATGCCCGAATCCTGGCCGCATGGAAAGGGGGAGCGACATGCACGATGCCAGGAATGGCTTCAATCGCTGGTGACTATGTACAAGGCTCAAGGCAAGGAAGAGATTTTACCTGGTGAGTTTAGATAGGTTTCGTGTCCGTGTACCTGTTGTTGGCCCTGCTTGATGTGCTTCTAAAATAGTATGTATGTTTACTTTACTTACTTTTCAATGTTATTCTCTGTCCCACAACCCGCCAGGCATTAACAAGAGGCTGGCAGACAAGGAGCTGCGGCTTTTTTGTTCGGTCCTTGGAGGAGCACCGAAGGGAGAGAGGAGCTTCCACAGTGGCCTCACAGCGATTCTCAAGACACCGGACTGGCGGGAGAGCTACCCGAACCTCGTGCAACTCTGGTTCGCGGTGGCGGTCATTCCCCTCAGCACCGTGGAATGTGAACGGGGCTTCTCTTGGCAGAACGTGATCAAGTCCTGGCTTCGAGGCGGCATCAAGGATGCAAGGCTGGGGGATCTAATGTGTATGTCCCTGATGCAGTATGAGCCCAACTACGATGAGGTAGTTGAGATCTGGAGGAGCTACAGGAAGCGTAAGCCCTTCAACAATGCCCCCATCAGCATCCCAACCACAGGTGACACCAGCAAGAAGGGCAAGCAGGCGATGGAGGTAGATGACGAGGACGAGGCAGTAGGTGATGCGTTAGAGTGTTCTTCTAGTGACGATGATGATGATATGTGCGGCTAACTCTTTGTAATGTCCTCTTGTTAGTTAAAAATGCAAAACTTAATGGATGATAGGCTTTAGCAATGTTCAGCCTTTGTTTATAAGTGAGGCTGATTAGTCAGCCTTGTTTTTGGGTATAACACATATATTTCAGCTATTTTTTTAGGCCTAACACTGATTGATCAGCCTACAGTAGCCAGGTAAGGCTAACGATTCAGCCTAGGCAAAAATGAATATGAGGCCCTGGACCCGGGTCTTATATAATTAGTACCGTACCATATGGTAAGACCCCCCACCAAATTTTCTTGTAGTTTTCATAAGACCCTAGGGTCTTATATCCGGGTGATTACGGTACTACCATAGACATTCCGGTAGCAATTAATGGCTGCCAAAACACACTATAGCAGTGACCGTAATCTGTACCATAAGCAATCAAGCCATCAGCAGAACTGCTTGGAAACAATAAGTTTACCGTACCTAAACATAGTACAGTATGCACATCACCCACCCCCTTTTGCTACTGGTGCAGCTGGTGATACTGTGTCTTGGGACCTCAGATTCACTTTAGGGCACCCTGAGCCCTCAGGGCGGAGCCCCTAAAGAGACTAACGTCCACAGGGCATGGGGTGTAGCCACGCCCTGATTTCTCAGGGCAAAAAAAAAAAATTTACCCTGAGCTTTCAGGGCATTTTTTTCTAAGTGCAGTACATGTATTTCAATCTCCTGTTTTGAATCTGAAACATATTGATGCAAGTTCACGGATGAACAGTCGTCTTAATGCCACAGTCAAGAATTGAACTCGGGTCTTACGAGAAAAGGTAAGACCGTTGCGCTTCGTGCACAGTTAAATACATATATTTTCTTCTCCGACCGACTTGTCACAGTGCACACGAGGCAAATATGTTAAAGCCAGGGTCTCACGTACTGCAGTTGACAGTGCAAGTTTGTTTGTGATTGGTTGGCGAGTTGTGAAGTTTGAAGAGGGGTGAAGCTAGGGGTACGAAACGTATCCAAATCGCTAGGTGTAGCCGAACCTTCTAGGTTTGTAAATTTGGTTCGGATCCAAACCTAAAATGCCCCAGACTCGTCGAAAGTCTCACGTACTCAAAACTACTTGTGCAATTGCTTTTGAAGCACTGACGGGGGTAGGTTTCCAACCCAACCAAAGAGAAATTCGCCTGCACTAACTATGTAACCTTTCAACTGCTTTGCAGTTGATGGCTGCTTTGCTTACTTGAGACCCTGGCTTTAAGAAACACCCTGAGGCCTCAGGGCAGGGGAGTGTAGAACACTCTGAATTCACAGGGTCGTATAAATCAATTACTCTGAAATTACAGGGCATCTGTTACAAACACCCTGAAATCTCAGGGAAGGGGAGGTAGCATCACCCTGAAATCAGGGTAATCAGGGTATTTTACCCTGATATCATAGGCCCTTCTTGTCCCATATCCTCCCTGCAAGCATCTCCTCTGCAACCACCACTGCCAGCTGGAGATGTCGTGCCTTTCCCTGTCTCAACCCTCTCACTGTTGCTGCTGCTGCTGCTGCTGTTGCTGTTGCTGTTGCTGCTGGTGATACTGCGTCCTCCCTGCAAGCATCCCAGCTGCAACCACTGCAGACAGCTGCTGCTGTTGATGCCTCTGCTGCCGCACCTTCTTTTGCTTCCGCTGCGACCCTCCCCCTACTCCTGTCCCCCCTACCGCACCTGCACCGGCTGACTCTTGCTGTGCCACGGCAGCAGCAGCAGCTGCAGCGTCTCTAGGAGAGAGCATGGCCAACGAAGTGCCGACAGCAAGAGGGTTGGAGCCCGGTCGAGCCCAAGAAAGTAAGGGCGTGGGTGCATTGGACACACCACCTTGGCTCAAACCACCTCCCTGCTGCTGCTGCTGCTGCTGCTGCTGCTGCTGCTGCTGCTGCTGCTGCTGCTGCTGCTGCTGCTGCTGCTGCTGCGATGCAGGTTGATCACTCTCTTGCTGCTGTTGCTGCTGCGGCTGCATCACAGCAAGAGGGCCGAAAGCCAAGGGGTAAGGGTGTCCCGATGGTGAGGAATGAAGAGCAGCACCCGTGGTGGCAGCATGGTGCATTCCGGCATACACGTATGGCGAGGCATGACCTGGGTGCTGCGGGTGGTTTCGATGGCTGGGATGGCTGGGATGGCTTGCGTGGTTTGGATGGCTGGGATGGCTGGGATGGCTTGCGTGGTTTGGATGGCTGGGATGCATGCTTGGGTGAACGTTCAGATACACGTTGGCATGTTGCGGCGTGCTGGCATGCTGCGGCATGTGATGTCCCACCGTGCCAGGCATGGCATAATGTGGCGCCATACCTTGTGGCATGGGCGGAGCGGGATACCCATGCATGCCGGCATGCATGCCCGCTGGGATCGAGTAGAGGTAGTGAGGGGGGGGTGCCATGGCGTGGTGTTGGGCGTGGGTGGAAGCGGGGTGTGGCACGGCGTGCATGCTCTGAGGATGGCTTGGTGGGGGATGCGGCATGGCATGGTGCTGCGCTAGGGTGGAAGAAGGGTGTGGAATGACACGGTAATGGGTATGGCTTTCGGGGGCAGGATGGGGCGGATGGAGAGCGGCAGGCGGGACCGAACGAGTGCCTGTATGCGGGTGTGACTGTGAGGAGAGGCTAGCATGACCTGCCACAGGTGCAACCGCAGAATCAGCAGAAGCGGCAGCAGCAGGTGTTGGTACGGGGGAGTGTGCTGGGGTGTGTGGAAGGCCATGTGACGTGCTTGGCATGGCACCTGCACCCATACTATGAACCATACTCGCACCCATGCCACTTTGCATTGCAGTCCGGCCCTGCTGCTGCTGCTGCTGCCTCTGCTGTTGGCGTGAAGCATAGCTGGAACTGCGAGTGATGGGGGCAGAGGGTGGAGCGGACGACCCAAAACAAGCACCATCACCAGCAGCAGCAGCAGTAGCAGCAGCACCAGCAGCAGCAGCAGTAGCAGCAGCACCAGTAGTGGCAGCAGCGAACGCTAGAGAAGCACCTTCTCCGTTCTCCTTACCTCTTCCTCCATCCACTGCACCACCATCGCCATCACCAATGCCATCGCCATCACCATTGCCATCGCCATCATCGTCACCATCACCTGCACTCTCATCCACCTCCTCTGTCTCCCCACACCCCTCTTCCTCCTCCATCTCCCCGCACACGTCTACAATGACCTCCCTCGTCCTCCGCCTCTTCCTCCTACCCCTCTCCTGCTCCGATGAGCCACAGAGCCCACCTGGAGCAGGTGCAACCTCAGGTGTTTCCTCAGGTGTATTCTCAAGTGGTTTGTCAGGTGTTTCATTAGCAATCGCAGGAGACAGGGGAGTGGAGAGGGCAGGGCAAGCGGATGCGGATGGGGATGGCAGGGCGAGGAGGCGGGTGGAGGAGAGAGGGGAGCAGAGGCGGCGCGAAGGGGCTTGGGGCTGCTGAGATGTCGACACCTGTGGGAAGGGCTCATCGCGGGCTTGTGGCAAGGGGAAGCCAAACTCGCCAGCGGCAGCAAGCGTGGTGGTGGGGGCTGCAGCTGGGGTGGCTGTAAGAGTGGGTTGGGAGGGTTGGGGTGAAGTGGACATGAGAGAGGGTGATCCTGGTGGGACTTCCCCTGCACCACCTGCTGCACCAGCAGCAGCAGCACTGGCAGCAGCGGCAGCAGCGTCAGCCCCAGAACCAGCAGAAGCTGCAGAAGCGGAGATAGAGGCAGGGGTATGGCGAGGTCCTGCTGTGGGGACTGGTGGGAAGAAGTGAGAGGGCGGGTAAGCAACATAGCAACCATACACAGCAGCAGCAGCCTTGTCAGCAGCAACAGCAGAAGCCCTGTCAGATGCTGCAGCAGCAGCTGCTGATGCATCCAACGGTTTCTCTAAACTCGAGATTACCCCTAAAGAGATCTCCCCACTGTGCCCTGCCAAACCACGACTGGCAGCACCTGCAGCAGCAGCAGCAGCAGCGGCACCACCAGCTGCAGCACCAGCAGCACCGGCAGCAGCAACAGCAGCAGCAGCCTCCGCAGAAGCAGGAACTGAACCCGCGTCAACTCCTCGGCCTGTCACCCCTCCTTCCCCTCCTTGCGCCGCTCCTCCCGCATTCAAGGCGCCAGCGGGGTGAGCAGACGTGAGTGCCCCACCGGCAGTGGACGACCTACTGGCCACCACCATGCCACTCGCCTTGGCCTGCTCCTCTATGATCTTCTGCAGGTACTTGCCCTGCGCCTCGATCCTCAGCTGCAGCTGCCGCTGCACCTCCAGCTGCTCGTGCAGCCGCCTCTGCACCTCCATCTGCATGCGCAGTGCCTCTGTGATCGGGATGTTGCGGATGCTGCAAGGGCGAGGCGAGTATATGACGCGGGAGTGAGAAAAGGCGAGTGAGCACATTAGGAGTGGATCAGAAGTGTTTGGATGCCTAAGAAAAGGGAACATTTGAGTCGACTGAAAAGGAACGCTGCCGCACTGCACCCGATGAAGCAAGCAGAAGGGAAAAAGTGCCGGTTCATTCGAAGCGAATCAGACATACAGTCAGCAACATGGGATCAGACATGGTCGGCGATAAAGTGGGGGAGGGGAGGGGAGGCGGGGGAGGGGAGGGAGGGGAAGGGATGGGCGGCGTTGTGGGTTAGGGAGTGAAGGGCATACACAGCAGGGTCGAGAGACGAAGGCTCGCCGTCTGTAGCGTCAGGCTGGAAACCCAGAGAGCCAGCAGCCGCAGTGGCGGCCGCAGCGGCAGTGGCAGCCACAGCAGCAGCACCAGAAGTAGCAGGAGCCGCACCAGTAGCAGCAGTAGCTGCAGCAGCGGCGGCAGTGGCGGCGGCAGCGGCAGCGGCAGCAGCGGCAGGAGGGAAGGGGGGTGGAGCTAGTGTGACAGGCGTAGGTGCAAACACTCCGGAAGCAACACGCTTGGGGGCTTTTTCTGCCCTCTCCGGCCTTGGCTCTGAGAGGCACAGCAGGACGGATAGGGCGGAAAGGAACAGGTTGATCACCCAGATTTCAAGGGCAGTACGGACGGATGGCGTGAGGTACCTTCAATCTGTCGGGGGAAAAATAAGGGGGGTTATGCATGCTAGACACTCTGTAGATTCCGCTGTTCCCTGATTTTTGCAGTTTGTGACGTCTCAAAACTACACACCCCGCAGTGCATGTTCGTCAGAACGTAGGCTCGGGAGGTCGTAGGCTGAGCAAAGCGTAGGTTTGGCAGAGGGCTGGCCCGGCAGACTAGTTCAGGAATGTATGCTCTGTGGCTCCGTGGCCAGTTCAGCTGCTGGTGTATGCTACTAACTTACCCTTTTCTCGGGGTGTGGAAGGCAAAGGATCTGGAAGGTACTTGGCGAGTCGATACTTCTGCAGAAAGGGACAACACATGCAAGGGGCAAGGGGGGAGTGGGGAGGGGGGCAGGGGGGAAGGGGGATGCACTTACAAATGGAAAGATTTTAGCACGATACAAGCAATGTTTGAAGCGACCCAAGAACTTAGAGTTGACTAAGAAATCTTTACCGGCATGTGGCTCTTGACGTGGCACATTGTGATTCGTGAGCCCTTGCATGCACGGCGATGACATGGCACGGCATTCAGTGCGACCCAGTCCCATGCTATCACTGCACCAACCAACCATACATACATGCATGCATGCCTGACGGGGTGAGGATGGTTGGTGTGGCACACGCACCTGCAGGTGGCTCTTGACGTGGTAGACGGTGAGGCCCTGCACGCCCATCACTCGCAGCACTCCCTTGGGCGTCGCCTCTACAAGTGGTGGTAACGGGAGCGGGGGTGGAAGTGCGAGGGAAAGGAGAGGGAAGAGAGAAGAGGGAGTGGTCAGCGACTCAGCGGAAACGGGAGGGCATGGATGCGCAGGAACCAGAATTGGCAGCGAGTGAGAGGCATGGGGGGGATAGATGCCATCTCCATTCCATCCACTACCACAAGTCCACGACTTTATTTCAAGCATCCCTTAATTGAGCGAATACGCGGGCACACAGCACAGCTCTTCCCACAAGCCACAACTTACTGTCAGCCCCTCCCAGGTTGGCGACGGCCTCCACGAATTTCTCATGCAGCTCTGGCGTCCACCGCAGGCGGTGCTTGCCGGAACTCCCATCGCTGCTCAACCCCCCTGCCCCGCCTCCGCCCCCCATGCTGAACCCCCCTCCCCCGCCCACGCTGCTCGTCGCCCCCCCTTCCCCTCCACGCCCTCCCAGAGATGCTGTGGGCGCCGCCCCCCCACCAGACGCGGCTGCTGCAGCTGCTGCAGCAGCGGTGGCGGCGGCAGCTGATGCGGCAGCAGATGCAGCAGCGGCTGCAGCATCCGTCCCTGGGGCAAGCAGATTCATCCCCGCTATAGAGTCGATCCGGTACATGCTTACCCCAGCCATTCCACCACCACCACCCCCAACCCCACCCTGGCCCTGCATCCCAGCAGCGATAGCAGTGGCACCAGCGGCACCAGTGGTGGCTACGGCAGCAGTGGCAGCAGTGGCGGCAGTGGCGGCGGTACCATTGACTGCTGCTCCTTGCGACAAAGCCCCCGTCCCGTCTCCTCCTCCGCCTCCGTGCCCCCCTCCCCCTTCCCCTCCCCCTCCCCCGCGCCCTCCGCCCCCCCCTCCCGCACCACCGCTGCTCCCAGCAGTGCAAGCGGAGGAGGCGGGCGCAGCCACGCGGAGGGCGCAAGGCATGCCCCCCAGCGACAGGGGCAGCGGCGGCAGGGGCAGAGGGTCCCTTCCCCCCGGGTGGATCTGCGCGTACATCCCTGGCACGGCCACCAGGGAGAACGGGAGGTCTGCGGAGGTGTAGGGGGTGTGGAAGGGCGGGTATGGGGGCCTGGAGAGGGGGGAGGCGGGGAGGTGAGTTGTGGGGGGGAAGATGGGGTGGGGTGTGCTTGCGTGTTGCGCCTGGTGCGGCTGGTGCTGCTGCTGCTGGTGCTGGGGGTAGTGCTGGTGCTGGTGGTGGTGCTGCTGGTGCTGCTGCTGCTGCTGCCACTGATGGCTATCTTGGCTTGCAGAACGGTTTTCCCGCGGGGTCGGGCATCTTGCAAACAGGTCGTGTCGCTGCTGCTGCTGCTGCTGCTGCTGCTGCTGCTGATTTACTTCCTGCTGTCTCTGTTGCTGCTGGTTTTGATGTGGTTGCTGGTTCTCCTGCTGCTGATGCTGGTGCTGCTGCTGGTTCTGCTGCTGCTGCTGCTGCTGCTGCTGCTGCTGCTGCTGCTGCTGCGGCGGCGGCGGCGGCGGGCAACTCAGTTCCCATGGCAGGGAGGACGACGAGCCCTGCTGCCTTCCCTCTTGTGCTGTCTCCAGCTTCGACGGCACCACCACCTGTAGTGTAGAGAGGCACCAAAAGAATGGGGCGGATCAGAAAGGCGACGAATGAGTCGACTCAGAGGTCGCTTTGCTGCCCTCCCACCCACCTCTGCGTTGCTCTAGCTTCGAAAAAAGCAACACCTGTAGAGCCAGCAAGCGCAAGGGAGGATGACAAGGAAGAGGAAGGAGGTGCAGCGAGAGCAAAGGCAATGCGGCTATGATCAGGAACAATCGACGATTTGACGGGCACGGACAGACAGACAGGTGGAGGGCAATGGAATGGAATGAAACGGAGGGAGATCAGTGGCGACACACATGCATGGACACTTGACCCATGAAGCACCCAGAGACACCAACCACTTTCGAGAAATCTCAAAGGTGACACAAACCCAGCCCAAGCCTTGCACGCGAAGGAAGAAGGAAGAAACACGCTCCTCGTCGTCGAACGCCTACCTCGTCGTCGACCTTCAGCAGCTCCGCCCAATCAGCTCCGATGGCTTCGTCCGGAGTGTACTCAGGCCACGTGGGCCAATCACAACCCGTTCCAGCCCCTGCTGTCGGCCCGTACGCATCGCCGATGTCTTTTTCCCTCCCCGCGCTCGCGCGTCGCCCTCTCGCCAAACCCCTCTCCTCCGATCTCCCTTCCGATTTGCCGTCCAGCCTTCCCTCGAACCTCTCCTCCACGTTCTCTAATTTATCCGATTCGTCAGTCCAAATGTTCTCTAGACCCCCCACTGCCATCCTACTCTCGTTATTGTCACGGTCCACCTCGTCCCCGTTACCAGCTTCCCCGATCACCATTACAGAAGCCGCCTTCCCGCTCTCGCCAACCTCGCACTCCTTGGCGAATCTCGACGTACCGGTCGTAGCATTGTTACCATCTAGAGCGGTACTACCATCCTGATTGTTACCATCTATATTGTCCAGCGCCCCGTCGCTACCGAACATGGACGAAAACGCGACTGGCGGAGAATTAACGTAGAACCCTTCAGCGTACACGTGCCCGCTCGCGAAAGGTAGGGGCATGGGAGACAAGTGCGAGTTGCGACGGTCGGACATGATGGTCGGAGAAATCTCCTCTGATGCCAACGCATCGAACTTGGGCTGCTGCTGCTGCTGCTGGTGCCGATGCTGCTGCTGCGGCTGAACGGGGAACGCCGGGGGTGGGAGGTACAGGGCGTCTTGCATCCGCTGATGCTTCGGCTGAGTCTCCCGGCGGCTGCTGGTTTCGCGGAGTCCCACTTGCCGGCTTGGAGTCCATGAAAATGCGGCTGCCTTTAGTTGGCTTCTCAGACGACTGCACGTATTTGGCTTTCAGCACTTGACAGGCTCAGTACACTGACTAAGCAGTCAGAGCTTATCAAACGGCTTGCCGTCCTGGCACCCAACGGTGCCGTGAATTTGCGATAAACGATTCTCATGCAGCCCTACAAGGCAACTATAACAGCGGGTAACATCACTGTACCTCTTACTACAGGCCGGGATGACGGATTACGAGCCTCAGGTTCAGTCTATACTATAACCATGTAGCGCTTCGGAGGCAATTGGCCGATCAATGTAGCCGTCACAGAGCGAGACGACGATTACGAGAGGCAAGGACCGTCCATTGCTACTCTCGTGGCTACTACGAGGAGACAAAACCGGAAGTCATTAACAAAACCCTGATAGACAAAGCTTAAGGAACGAGACAAAAGTGACTCATAGTCAACTCAGAAGTCACAAGCCGTGCCGCGGCTTTACCTACAACAGCGATAATTCCCAAGGCAAGGCGTCGAAGCGCTTGGAATAGGCGAGACGCGCAGAATTGACCTCTGTGAGTTCAGAAACTAGATCGAAAGAGAAGACCCTCCCTCTCAGCTCCAACACGCTCCTTTTGTCATCCTTATTGCATCCTCTTTTTAACTCCGGAAGCCACGGCGTGACAAGTGTCACGACGATTGGCGAGAAGTCTGCCACGGAAGCAGCTACTGTACTGGTGGTGGCTTTCTGCTGCTAGTGGAGGGGAGAAAGCAGTGAGCAACAGTGTCGCGAGGGTGAGCAGCAGCGGGTGTGGCAAGGCAACCACGGCTTCCTGCCGCCACTAACGAGGGCTGACGTCATCGAGTCATGGAAGATGCGACCTCGAGCCCCACGGACCACTCCATCAGCATCGCAAAAAGATTCCATCGTGATATAAATTCAGCCGAAGGGCAGAAAAGAGTATCGAACGGCTATGAAGTGTTGTGCGTAACCAGATTTCGTCGGAGGAGTTCGCAGCAAACCCTCGAGTGTCCCTTCAAGCCAAACCACGCACTCTGCGTTTCCCGTCCCTTCAAGCCCCCCCGACAACGAATAGCCACGGATTTACAGCGAAAAAGTGCAACAACCCTGCAACCACCGACTTGGAGGTTGTAGACTCGTTACGAGTGAAATTGACTGAGCGAACAAGGGATTACACTACTAGTTACAACGAGAACATGTTTAAAAAGAGAGAAGCCCTTAGAGAATGTTGAAGACAGCTACAGCCCCAGAATGATAAAACAGCACAAGAATCTTCACATCTGCGCTGATGTGTGAGGACAAAGATTGAATACAAACAACAAATTACTCTAAGAAAGGTCCTAATTGTCAATCTACTTGGCATATTGATATCGTCATACCCCAATCCAAATATGGGCGCGACACCTTTCTTTATAACTCAAAGTTCAAATACCGTAATCCCCCGGATAAAATGTTACGAATAGTAATTGTTGAAACATCACTGTGCACTCCTCACCGCAGCAATTGAAGCACGCACTACCGAGAATGGAGACGAAAGGGCGGAAGTGACACGAAGGGTCGCACAGTTACGAAGGCATATGGACCGTCGGGCAGACAGCATCAGGCAGCAGCAGTGGCGAGGATTCTGCCCGGACAGTTTCGTAACTGTCTGGAGTTGCACGGTTGGTTTTCGCTGTAATAAGGGAATGTACCCCTTAGAGTACATGGCTAGCTAGGTCGATTGGTATTCCCTTGTACTCTTAATTATAGTGATGTATTTGCATGTTTTTATTATCTCAAGCATCTTACATTCACTCTGCTATTGAGGTCAAGGGCCCACCACCACAACTCAGTTGTGTGCGAACCTTCCTGAGGAGATCCTATACACGATCAACTTCTGATCGTAACATGGTATGAGAGCGACTCAGGAATCCTTCAGACCGCCACCACCGAAATCTTCGGCGAACGGAAAGTGGCGTCCGGCACACGCTCACGCGTGAGAATGGCCGGAGGATCTGGTGGTCAGACGAATCTGACGGCTGAAGCGCAGACCAACCCGGCTGCGACAAGCGAGGAAACGACGACGATTGGAACCGCCGCCCTCGCACAGATGCTTCAGTGACTCACCAGCCTGGAGCAACAACTCCAGACATTGCAGAACGGCGACGCGGGAACTTCTTCCCAACCCTCTCAACCGGCCTCGAACGGGTACAATACCGCCCCGCATACCTTCTCCCTCGACACCAATGGCTCAACTCCCAAAACTCCCCGTCCCAGCGAAGAAGCAATTCTCTCTGCGCAATCAAGGGTTTTGAGCATATAAAAAATAAAGACAAGTGTGTGCTTTGACGGCAGAGACTTCTATACGTGGAGCTTCGAGCTGGAGCTACTACCGCAAAACGCGCAGATCTTCCACTATTTCGACGGGAGCTACTCGGGACCCGCTGAAGACACCGACGACGCCAAAGCAAGGTAGTACAACGAGTCCCTGATGGCGTACGGAGTTCTTCTGCGAAATATGTCGCCAGCGGAGCAATTGAGCATTCGCTCATACAAGACAACACCTGCTCCAGCCCTCGACGCTTGGCGCCACCTGAATGGCGTTTACCAACCGAAGGATTCGGTTTCGTCGAGCCGCCTACTCCAGCAGCTACTGGAGACAAGACTGGCACCAGGGGAGAAGGCCAACAGCTACATCAATCGCTGTCGGAGCTTACGCGATCAAATCGCGAAGTTGGGAAGCACAATCTCTTAGGAGATCTTCGTGAACATTGTGCTTCAAGGGCTCGGCCCAGAGTGGCGGCCCTGCAAGGCGCTTTTATGACAGCAGGGGGTCATCTCGGAGGCCGCCCTATGCGCCGCCCTCCTCGTCGAACAACGGGATATGGACCAGCAGCGACCAGCGCCGCGACGAGACAGGGAACGCCTCGCCTTCTACGCCGACAACACGGAGGAGCGACGGCCGCGGCGCCTTTACTGCAAGATTTGCAGAAATTTCGGGCACCTGGCGGATCGATGCAAATACCGATCTCGCCCTCGTCAGACCAATCCGAGCAACTGGTCCGGCCGACAAGACGCACGGAATGACACGCGTCCCGCCCAGGGGCATCAACCCCCTCTGCGCAACCTGAATCAAACGATTCAGCATCAGCAGCAGCAGCCACCAACTGCGCCCGTCCGTAACGTCATGGGCAACATGACAATGACGAGCGGATCCCGTCGTCCCCGTGCACTCTCACCATCACCCGAGGAAGCACGCCATCCAATCGGAGCGTTTTCGAACAACAATCCGTTCACCACGCGTCACGATTTCACCGACGACGACGACCAGGACTGGAATCTGCCAGTCCCGCTGCTCGAGAGCCCCCCCCACGTACCTGACACGAGGGCGGCACCAATCGATTGGATCGCGCGCGAACAGTTTCTAAAGGTTGACACACCATACATCGTTACTCCGCGTAACGACAACATGCGCTACAACACGTGGTATCTGGATAGCTGTTGTGGGCAGCACATGGTGGGTTCCGAGCGTTACATATCCAACGCCGTCGCCACCCCCGCCGTCACCTACGTCACCGTGGCGAACAACACGCGCCTACGCGCAAGCGCGCAAGGCATCGTTGTGCTCAAGGCCCGCGGGAGCAGGACGCACATCACGCTGAACGACGTGCTGATCGTGCAGAATCTACGCTTCAATCTCCTCTCGGCGGCGCAGCTCATGGATTGCGGTGTCGACCTCAGCACCAACCCCGAGACACGTGACATCTTGCTTCACTTCACAATGCCGGACAAAACGCGCAAGCAGATCGGGCGAGCGCACTTCGAAAACGGAGTTTACATCCTCGACTTCAGTATTCCCGACTGCAGCGGTGACTCGAAGGAGCTCATCGATCTCGTCCCCCTGCGCTTCGAACATATTCACCACCGTGATTGGAAGCACCCTGACGGAAGACCGTTGGTGCCTCATCACAGTCACCCGCGCGAAACGGCACTACATGACCCCGACCCCGATGGCATCTGCAGAGATTGCCATACGCCCACGGCATCACGAGCGCGACTGCCGGCCGTGGACTCGCCGCCATCGCCGAAGCAGAGCGGGAAGCACCGCCTGAAGAAGGGTTGTCTCACCTGGAGCTCGAGACTGCCACGCGCATCGTTTTCGGAACGGAGGAAACTCCTCTCCCCGGAGCTGCATCACAACATCTTCGAGGAATGCTGCGCGGCGTTGGTGTCGGCACCTTCAATGCGCACGGAAACCCGCGACCCTACACCCAGGAGAAATTCCTGGAGATCTACGCTCACCAGCGCGACTTTACAAAGAAGCTTACCGTAGCGCAAGAGGAGGAACAGGCGCGCCGCGAAGCGGAGGAACTTCGCCAACGGAGCCTTGCGGAGTCGCGCGGAACATTCGCCTGGAGCGGATGGGGCGAAGAAGAGAGCGCCTCCAATGAAGGGGGGTGGGGAAGCGTTGGCGGATGGGGCACGAGTGACACTGGCGGCGATACCGGCGGATGGGGTGCCGCATCTGGCGGCGAGACGAGCGGCTGGGGAGCTTTCCGCGAGGACCAAAGGGGGGAAGAAGAAGAAATCGAGGAAATTGAGGTCGAACCTCCTGTTGTTCCTCTTGGTCGTCCTCCCCGCCGCCCTGCACCCGCACGCCCACCACCTGACATCCCGCCAGTGACCCTTGGGACACCATCGACTGGGGGAATGAGCCATCTACTCCACGTCGCACCGTCTACGGGCCTGCCCCCGAGCCGCGCGAACCAACCTTCTTCCCAGGAACCATCCCTGGAACTAATATTCCCGTCTCCATCATTATGGACAGGGAATTTCTTGCGCTGATGTTAACGACTGCGAAGGGAGAAGAAGAAGCTGAAGAAGCAGCGGCAACACCTTCTCAAGCACCTGACGAGGATCCCACAGAAGCACTCGCGCGCTACATGCGC